TTTTTGGGGGAAGAATTGATTTTGAATAGTGATATGATGGGAAATGTGTGGTTGAAAAAGAAGAAAAAAGTATTGATGTGATGGAAAATATTATTTTATTGAAGAATGTGTGGTTGAAAATAAGAATTGATTTGAGAATCAATTCTCAAATCACCACCAAACACCCCTTTAATACCATAGAGACATGACAATGTAAAAAGTATAGCTAAAGGAAAAATATACTGGGTAGTAACAAAAAATTCAAATATACATGAAAAATGCTACCAATTGGTAACATGTAATATTCATGGCATTATTAAATGTATCTTATATATCCGTTCCAACTTAACCACACAACATTATAAGAATAACAAGCTATGAAAGCCTAGATACGTACATTGTCATTTAGTCCCAAAAACTCAGAAGAGTTTATTATTGCAAGTGCAGGAGCAAGATAAACAAAGGAAGGGCCCTGTATTAGAGGCAATCTTGATCCAAATGAAGTGTGCAAAAGTGTTGTCAGTCCCGACACGAATAGCACAGTGGAAACCACATTTGCTGTATCCTCCTACACATACTGACTCTCATTAGTTTACCTAAACTAAATGATAAATACAACACAACGAGAGATAGATTACGTAATTTAACAAGAACAAATTACAAGTGCTCACATAGGTACCACCCATTGCTGGAACTATCACGAGAGGAATTAGTATCAACGAACCCAACATCGAAAGATAATGTTGAAACCCGTACAGACCAATGGGAACTGAAATATCACAATCAAGAGAGCAGCAATTATAATTACAGTACCAAAAGAGCGGCACTTATAATCACAGTATATCCTTCATATAGACACTTAGATAGTTATCAATATTACATAAGCACCAAATAATGCCATTGTTTACAAACAAAGAAAGGTAACCTGTTTCAGTACTGATGAAGCTATATAAAAAATTTTAGATCAAAATTGCATAATATTTGCCTTCCCTTTTTCCTAAGAGAAATGCTATTCATCCCCACTGGGGATGCATCCCCAGTTTACGTGACGTTAATGTGACATTAAATAATAGGTGAAATTAAATAAGTTATTTAATTTCACCTATCATTTAACCAATCATTTACATCCACATAGACTGGGGATGGATAGCATTTTTCTTTTCCTAATGGTTAATACTGCAATTAACAATTAAATAAAGCTACCAGCTTTTTGTAGTAGGTAACCATAACCCCATTTTAACATCAGCAGAATTATTCAAAATAAACATTAGTATTCTCATCTTTTTATTTTAAAATCTGCGGAACTGTACAGACAAACACTAGTAACCATTTTCCACTTTAAAAAACTGCCCTTGGGTTCATAGCTCATCAAAAAGCCAATAATAATTTAGGTTAAGTTGTGGGGCCTAATTATTGCTGCCGTATAAAGCCAGCACAATTCATAGTTTAGGAATTTCACAATTATAATTATGGTTTTGTCCTAATTCATCTTATAAATAGGAAGCCGTAATTAGGATTTTGTATAATCATAAAAAAGAGAGAGATATTGGACAAAATAGGATGTACGTTTTTTCTCTTGTAAACTTCTTTTCTTTATAGTGAATTTCGGATGAGGGTGATCTTGTGTGTTACTTCTATTTTATTGCTCTCGCTAGTATAGAATTGAGGTTTCTAATTCTCAACAATTAATCACATAGAAACCTCACTAAAATTCATATATTTGAGTCATTTCTACCATAAAATACCATAATTCCAAACCAAAAAAAGCTCACCAAGACCAGGAGTATCTCTGAGCTCATACTTCATATGTGCATGCCTCGATACAAATCCATCATCATCCACCACGGTCTGCGGCAGCACATCAATCGGGGCAGCTGCTTCTTCGTCCCTCAAGCCCCTCCTACTCCCCTCTCCTGCAGCCACCGGATGCCCATTCGCCCCCAAATTCCTGCCTCCATCCGAGTCTCTCCGCTTCCTCACCGGTGGCGTCTGCTCCTTCTCCTTATCCCCTGGGGGCTTCACAGCCCCCGTCTCCCCATTGGATGTTGGGAGGGAAGGCTTTTCCGGGATTGGCTTCGGTCGGCCCGCCTCAAGGTCAAGGTTAGAGTCGGATTCTTTTGGCTTGGGTTGAACTTGAGGTAGGGATGTAATTTGGCCAGAGTCGCTGGCATTAGTCTCTCCAGAGAATTTGGGTCGAAACCCGGTGCGTTTGGCCCAGGAAGTCGGTGGCATTGCAGTAGAATCAGGTTGTCCGGGTCGAGGCCTCTTACTCTTGTCGGAGCTTGCCATTTTTAGTATTGTACACTACAAATGCATAGCTCTAAGTCTGCAAGTGTAACATATACATATAGACAGATATATATACGCGGGTGTATGTATAGATCTGAGACTGAGTAGAGTGTTAGGGTTTTAGAGTGTAGTAGGAGAGTGAGAAAGATCTGAGCTTTAGCGTGTAAGTGCGTGAAATGTGGATTGAGAGTAAGCGAGACTGAAGAGAAAAAAATCTGTATGTATCTGTGTGTGTGTGTGAGGGAGAGAGAGTAGCAGTATGCAGGGAGTGGAGAGGGGGGGAAGGAGATGAAACCGCGTTTAACTCTCTGCTCCTGTAATAAAATGATATCGCAGAGAGATTTTTGTATTTTCCATTTTTCCTTTTTCTATTTCTTTTTCCAAAAATAAAATACTTTTACATAACTTTTTTGAATTTACGGATTTATGGTCCGTTTGATTCTCATTAATCAAACGGGAGCTTATTTATTTACAGGAAAACCTTCTAAAGCACGTGACTTGGACGATTTTGCAATAATATTAATGTAAATAAAAGAATTTATTGGAATTAAACGGGAGCTTATTTATTTACAGGAAAACCTTCTAAAGCACGTGACTTGGACGATTTTGCAATAATATTAATGTAAATAAAAGAATTTATTGGAATTGGACTCGTAAATTTTATACAGGCATAAGGGTTTGCATCTAGTCTAAAATAGAAAAGGGGACTCTTGGATTAAGATGTCACTTCAATTAAGACCGAAATGAATATTTTCGTACTTCTTAATATCGAACAAATACTTTATAATTCCGTGCTTTTGATCTGTAATAAATTTATCGAGTCGTCTTGTTTAGTTTAGCGTCGTCCAAAAGAATAATAATGTAGTATCCGTTAATCATTCATTTATACTCAGCAAATACTGCAATGTCTTGCAATTGTAATTCACGAGACTTTAGTATTCTCAATAATAACATATCCATAATTCTATCCCTTTCATAAGCTTGTTGGACAACTTTAAGATTAGTTTGTGCTTTCCAGACTCATGTTATAACATTTCAGAAGCCCTACTTTGTCGATCTTATCAAGTAAACCAACCTATGTGCAATTCATGCTAGGCGTGTCCCCATCGTGCCCAAAGACACCACAAGGGTTAGAGGTAAATAGACGTAGATTAACTGATAGCATTGCTTCGATAAGTCGATGGTAAATGATATAATTGTATTTACTTTTATCTTCGAATGATAAATCTACAGTAAATGAGTACTCAACTTGAGCATATCATGTTTGTGTTATAAAAACGTTGTTGTATATGTATGTCAAATCTATAGTAAATGAGTACTCAACTCTAGTATATCATGTTGGTGTTGTGAAAATATAGTTGTTTTCTTAAATATACTTCTTGTAATTTAATTGGTAGAGAGTATTGCAATTTTTCTTTTAATTAGTAATGTAATTTTTTGAAAAGAAAGAAAATTAGAGCTCCGTTATTTAATATTCTAATTAGTGTGTTGAACTAAAAATGACGTGGTATAATTAGATCAATTTAAATGTACTTTTTCGATATTTTGAGCTAAATAAGTTTTTATGATTTTTTAGTGGAAAGAATGTTATACTATGCTAGCTTAGTTCGACTCTGCGGGGGACCAATGTCTCCATTTATAAGCTTTTAAACGAGAGTTAGCCGCCCTCTTCACATCAAGCTACGGTACCAAGCTTGAAATGTGTGATACCGCCTTGATCAATGAGTTTTAATTGATGGTAGAGGCCGATGAGTCAAGTCATCATTTCACTTATATGATACATGTCCTCATACGATAGCAATTATTATTTTCCTTAGATTAGTTGAGCTGGAGGTGCTAACATTAGAGATAAAACTTGTTCAAGCATAATTGGTCACAGAAGTGGCGATGTCGTCAATAATGGGATACCTTTTTTAGGGAGTAATGATGATGTTTTCAGATGACGACAGAATGGAACCGCATTAGTTGGAGGAGCTTACTATCTGACCTTAAACTATATTAACCACAACATTTTTAATCTTCTAAAATAGGCCCGACGTGAGTCTTTAGTTTCACCACCAACAATGTGGATTTGACTCCTTAATTTTCAAAAATGAGGTTTCTGTTTTATAACTTATTTTAGTTTGGGAATCATGGTCCTTAAATGTAGATATTAAAATGGTAAAAAAAAAAATCATATTAAATCTGTGAAATCAAGATCCCCACCAAGCCTTTGATAGTTTACCCCTTCAATTTTTAAGACATGAAAGTAGCTACGTCAACGAAGGGTTTCATCACGTGAGATTCAACTTCACATATTTAAATAAATTGAAGTTAATGAAATTGTGCGATTGAAAATTGTGAGTCACTTTATATATGTGATAAAAATTAATTTTTTTGAAAAGAAAATTTTTGAACCATATAAATTTGCATAATGAATCCAAGTTGACACCTGGAATAATGGACAAATTTATGATGGGTTCGCAGCAGTCCATTGATTGAATTACGTTAAAGATGAGTGCTAGCTAGCTGTACAAGGAGATGCAAACCAGAGAGAGCCCAGCGAGGCCTGTTTGGTTCATCAATACGTCAATTATAATTATAGAAGCCAAAATATATCATCACATATAAATTATAAATTATCATCACATATAGCTAGAGCTGTAGATGGATCGGATATAGACTAGATCTGCTTATATCCAATCTGATCCGATAAGAGTATTTATCCGTTTCGATCTGATAATTCAACAAATATTTGATTTTTAAATCCATATCTGATTTGATATGTTATCGGATATTCGACTTGATAATCTGATCTGAAATTAAAGAAATTAGAAAAAAATTAATATTGGAATCAACTTTTTTTTATTATTTTTTTCCAATTCTTAAATGAGTTTAATAATTATAAATTTTTCAATTTTTTATGTTTTAAATTTGATGATTTTTTTATTCTAAATTTATTTATTTATTTTTGTGACAAATAACATGTCATAAAAATATTTTACCGACTCAATTATTTATAAAAAAATGGGATTGAATTGTTATCGAATCGAATTAACCTATATACATATTTGATATATTTAGTTAACAGATTATCGAATTTGGATCTTGATCGAGTTATTGTACTGGGACTCTAAATCCATCTCCCATTAATTTTATCAAATTCGGATCAAAATACAATATATTGACAGTCCTACATATAGCTACTAATGATGGAAAGTGATGAATTAGTCCAAATAAAATTAATCTCATATTTTCTGTAAATAAAATAAAAAAATTCCACTGTTGACGTGATAAGAGAACGTTAGTTATGACTACTTGAATTTATGAATGTTTCAAATAACCATAATTAAGGTTATTTTTCACATCAGTAGTGAAAAGTTTTGATTCTATCTATATATTGAGGTTAGGAGATCAGAAATCTTTGACCAAAACTGAATTAAAATATAGTTTTTGCTTGGTTGGACTCCTTTATTTGTAAGAGCGTGTATATATATACATGTAAAAAACTTTTCCGCATATGAACATGTATGTGTATATGGTTAACAAGTGATGATGATTCCGAATAAGCATATAGCCCCCATTTAGCTCCCACTATTTGAGATTTTAATGGTTGGAATATTGTGTTTTTTTTTTGAAAAATGTGTGATTAAAAATGAAAAAAAA